CTCCAACTTTAATATATGGGATGCTGTTGGAGGAGTGGTGACGACTTTCATAACTAATTTATAAATAACTGAAATCTGGCATGAATTGTAGGTTAACACTTCTTTGGCTGCTGCTCAAGCACGACTATGGAATGTGAGGGAAGAGAGAGACCAGTTTGAGGAAGCAAACAATCAGATAGTTGAGCACCTGAAGATAAAGGTTCGAGGTTCTAATTTTCTATTCCACGTATGGTTGAATATTCCTGAATAGCTCAGCATCCAGGTTGTCTGAAATTTTGGTTTGACCTTGATCGACAGGAAGATGAGTTTTCAAAATCCATTAACTCATGTAAGGTTGAAGCAGATGTTATCAAAACCTGGATTAATTTTCTGGAAGATACTTGGGTTCTTCAGCAGTCAAATGCAAAAACTAACGACAAGCTGGTCAAGTATGTAACTGAACTTAAGCAATGATAAATGTTTTTGCTGCCTGTAAAATAAACTAATTTGAGTATGACCCTGGATGTGTATATATTTATTATATTAGGAATAATTCCAATTTCACATATACTTAGTTGACTACATCCTTCAACAAGAATTCTATGGGCTATACTTACTCTTATTCTGCCTTTGCTCTTTATTTTTCACGAATTATTATTGACTTATCCTTACATTTTAAAGTGATGAATTGGAGAGACATGAGGACTACTTTGTGAACTTGGCCATTCAACTTCTTACAGCTTACCAGGTACATACTACGCTTTACTGATTCAAATAATGGGTGTATGACCTGGTTTTTGCTTCCCTCCTGGTTTTCCCCCTTAGTAGTATGACCTGCTACGTTGTGTGCAGAAAGAGTTAGAGCCTTCTATTAACCATATTGGAACATTTGTCGTGAACCTCAAGAATTTAAATCAGAGGTAATACCTTTTAAGGGTGTTTTGATTGTAAATTTCTTTGGGAGTACAGTATTTTCTCCATGTTAACAAAAAAGCTTAGATTTTCTTGCTTCTATAAATGAACTGGTATTCAAATCATTGATATTTTCATTTGTCTATAAAGTATTAAGTTTTAATTTTAAAAATTTTCGTGTGTGTGCTCTTGTGTGTATGTTTGTGTTGGGATACAGGTTAGAGATGACACCCAATCCAGATACCGAGGATTCAGAAGGATTAAGTCCAAGGAAAAACCTTGAGGAGGAATATCTGACGTACGAGGCCAAGGTATATATGCATATCACTGGCTCGTTCATCTAGCAGTTTATTTACCTATTTTTTTTATGATAACGTTTTTTTTTGTTCAAGTGTGAATTTGGTTTTTGACTCAGCCTAATGGCAACATGCGATCCGTGTAACTGACCTTGAAGGCAGATCTTCGGCAGTTAAAAAAATGAACTGCACCTTCTCCAGTTGTATCCAATAACCCACGAGTTTTAAAACTGTATTTGCTTTTTTTTTTAAATAAAAAACTTTAAACATTTGAATCGTGAGATCTCTTGAACTACACACGCTGCAGATTTAAAATGAACTACAGTGTATCCAATTCGATCTGACTTATCCTAATAGGATAAGACTATCAGTGTTGTGGGCTTGTACTGATTTATCCTAATAGGATAAGACTATCGGTGTTGTGGGCTTGTCTCCTTAAATGAGTTTGATCTTCTGATATATGTCGTATGCTGCATGCTTTGTTCATGACGAAAACAATGGAGTAGTGATATGATTTGCTTGGATTTGTTGATGGTTTTCTTTCGTTGCTTCAGATTATTACCACTTTCAGTGTTGTGGATACTATGAAACAGCAGTTTTACGCTCAGCATGGGAAAGTTTCCAGGTTGTGTTTTCTTTCTAGATTAACTTTACTGGGTGGCTTTATTAACCGAAGAATTGAACGGTTGGTTGATACAAGTTCAAAATAAATGTGTTGTGTAAATCCAGCTGAAATTTAGAATTTCTCTAACTGGTTTTCACCCAGACTCACCTTTTACAAACCATTTTGTTCTCTCCCTGTGAAAAACATTTTCTCATTTATTGAATAGAAGATTATGGTTGCATCAGACACCTTGTACTGAATTTTTTCCTTTTGCCTTCACTTATTGGTCGCACCAATCCAGGAGCGATGAAGATAGAGTTAAAGAGCTGTTTGAGGCCATTGAAAAGTTACGAACTAAATTTGAGTCTATTGAGAGGCCAATTCTTGATATAGAGAGTCCTGCAAAGGTTGAAACTCCACCTTCTGAGAAAAAGTTGGATGGTGCTCCGTCACTTTCTGCACCAGCTCATGGTGCACAGCTTTCAAAGCCTGAGACGGATGAACAGCCAAAATCATCTTCAGTTAAGGCAGACCAGCTATTAGACCATGCAGCCGAGTTAGCTAAGCTGGAATCTGAGATTGGAAGGGTTAGTGACGAGTATTCGTCAGAAGAAATTGGTGATTGGGAGTTTGATGAGCTTGAAAAAGAATTGGCTAGTTAGGTCAAATCTTATTTATGAGTAATTAAGCTTGCTGTTGTATTTTTATAAGGAGGCAAGTTCAAGTATCATAAATTTGTAAGCATGGGTCGGTTGTTAATGAAGCCTCAGTTTGTATCCCGATATCTTTTAATTTGTAAACATTAGAGCATAATTTCTTGATTCTTCTGTAAATTAATGAATATGTAACATGTAGACCAGTCGAAAAATTATTTGTAACAATCAGTATGGTTACCCTAGAACCGTTACATCGAATGACTGGAAAAGTTCTTATGTCATATTTTGTTTTTGGTTAGTGTTACTAGCCCACCTTGCATTCTTTTATTGGTTGAAAAATTGCAAAATTAAGTTATATATGTAATTTTTCTCTAACAAATTTTAGTTAACAGTAGTGTTAAAGTCTGGTAACATTTCTCTTTGAGCTTTCTACATTTATGGCATGTTTGAAAAAGATAAAGAGAATTTAGATAGAAATCAAAGAGTAAAAAATAAGGAATATAATATGTGTTCCTCCCTTTTTAACAGAGTTCTTTATTATTTTTATAAGTGGAGTGAAAATTAAACTTTGTACTGTATTTTTTTTAGAAAAAGAGCTGTTTATTATTTTTTTATCATAAAATAAAATAAGAAATATAGCAAGTGTTTCTCCTTATTTTACAGTGCTTCTTTATTATTTATTTCCTTCTAATTTCTCTTCGAAATAAACAATGAAAATTTGAATGTTTTATCTTTTTCTTGTTTTTTTTTTCTTTCTATTTCTAATGAATTTATATGCAAATAAACCTTGTTTCGAATGTGCCTAATGTTCAAAGAACCCTTCTAAGTATAGCCGGAAATTTTTGCCTGTGAACTCTGTACCTAACATGCAAAGCACGGAACATACACCATGTAGCTGCTAGTCAATCTTGTTAATGTGATTCATAAAATCAATTCATGAATCTATCCATGTAAATGCACCGGGTGTATTATTAGCCTTGAGATGGATGTTGCTATATTTGATTAGGCAACAAAAAAAATTATTGGCTCAACGAGACAATTTTGGTCCTTTTTTTTCTCAATCTGATGTAACAAAAGTAAAGTAGTGTTTTTTTTGTTTTTTTTCTGATAGAGATGCAGTTTGATCAATGTTGACATTATATTATAATGTATAAGTAGGTTTGAGAAAATAAATGAAAATGCTTGACAACCTAACTTGGCGACAAATTGGACATGAAAGTAAGGTGGGCATTAGCATAGGTCCTGCATTGACAGAAAGAACCAACCATTTGGTGGTGTTTTGTTAGCATGTTGGCAAATAATAATCTGAAAGAAATTGCACAGAGGGAGAAAAAAAAAGAAAAAGGTAAGAGCTTATCGTTTTGTTTTGCGACTAAAAAATATAAAAGGGAAAAGGATGATAAACTCAAAAGTAGGCAGGAGGAGTGTGTTAAAAGATGATGACAAAGAAACTCTCGAGCTTTGCAGGCATTCCGGCCTCAGTCTCTTCTCCCACCATTGCTTGTCGGGTCATGTGTTGCTCATTCTTCTTCACTCTCTGCATTCACTATAATACTTTATTCACTTACCACACAACTTCATTTTTCAATGTCAAATTAATAAACACAAAAGAACACACCAATAATTTCAAAAAGATGCCCATGTTTTGCACCCGTGTACACCAAAAGCTTTGCCAGGGCTTTTCCCGTGTGCAATTATTCACTAAAGTGCGTTAAAACAAAGGCAGGAATCCAGTTAAAAGTTCCAAAATGTATGCTGTGGTTGTTCTTCATTAACTCATTTTGGTGCACATCACAATGATAAGTAGTTAAGTACTGACATGAATGCCAAAGTGCATGCCCCCAGACATATCTTTTTCATAAACCCATTTTTCTTGCATGGGAAATCGCTAGTGTTACACAAGGTTCCAAAATAGGCTCTTTAATTCACAGACCATCTTTCCCATAGATCAAAAAAGTGAGTCCAACTCTCGTATGAAAGTGAAAAACCCATTACTTCATTGTATTAAGGTTTTGAACAATTAATTATATCAGTTCTTTATATGATTAGGCTCGTATCTCATTTGGCACTGTGTCTCTCAATAAAACTCATCTTGGATAACAACAAAAAGTACCCATAATATCAGACTCAAATACTTTTGTTACCACTGCCAGGAGATTCCCAAATATTAATATCATGCAACAATCCCCTTCTGCTTAAAATGGCAACAATAAAACATTGGTTTTTGTTAGAAAGTAATCAAATGAATGGCTACAATCATTATGTAATATGTTGATTCTAGCTTCCCATTGTGCGAGACTTCATGATGCCAACGGCACTAAGCAAGTAACCAACCTGCAGTGCGACACGGTGAAGTTTTTGGACACTTGTCTGCATTATTAATTTCTTGAGGAAACAAAATAATTTAAATCATGTCATGCTAGTTACCATTAGCAGCAAAAGAAGTATAAAAGTAGCAATCCCAATTAGAAATAAGCTACAATTTTATGTTGGGTGGGTCAGTGCTTCTCCCCGTAAGAAAATCAATGAGGTCCTAATTTTACATTCGGATGCCTGCAGACAAACTCCTTCAATAATGACAAGACATGAAATAAAAAATAAAAAGCAACAAGATTAGAATACCACTAATTCCAGGATACTACTGCTTTTAGAATAAATCATTCTTTGCACTTTCAAAAGAGGTACTATACCACTCTTCATTTTTCCATAATAAAAGCTCTGCAACCATTAGCTGGTATCCCCTCATAAGAAGAAGTCCAAAATAGAAGAGTGGTACTGAACCTGAGAAATAACAATGGCTACAACACTCTTAGCATGTGACCCTGCAGATGATGATTACATTGACATGGAAGTCAACTCATACTCCAACTTCTTCTGCCATTCTCAATCTTATCCACAGCCTAGAGAATTTGAGTTTCAAATGTCTTCCATTGTTCAAGAGAAAGAACCAACAACCTCCCCAGCTGATGAGCTTTTCTACAAAGGAAAACTCCTCCCTCTTCACCTCCCCCCTCGGTTACAAATGGTTGAAAAACTCCTTGAAAACTCAACCTCTCCTTTCCACAAAGAAAATGATATCTTTGAGGAGTTCTTTAGCACTCCTCTAGCCACTACCTACACAACACCAATTGCAGGCACCCCATTTGAATCCTGCAACATCTCTCCATCAGATTCTTGCCAAGTTAGCAGAGAATTAAACCCTGAAGAGTATTACAACCTTGCCTACCCAACAGACACGAGTGGTGGATTTGTTGTTCAAAACCAGAAGAAGTCTTGGACAAAGAAACTGAAGCAGTCTTCAATAGGTTCCAAGTTGAAGGCTTCAAGGGCTTATCTCAAATCTTGGTTTGGAAAATCTGGTTGCTCATATGAAACCTATGCAACCTCAACCAAAGTTGCAGATGAAGGATCGGTTTCAAAGGCCAGGGAAATTTTAAATATGAATGTGCAAGTGGCAAAGAAGAACCCATATGGCCAAATTCACAGGGACAGATATCAGTCCTCTAATTCTGTCATAAGAAGCTACAAAGAGAAGACAAGTGAGGATGGAAGTAACCACCACAGAAGGTCTTTCTCGGTCGGCATAAAAATTCTTCCAGGGAACAAGTCATCATCGTCATCGTCATCGTCATCATCTTCGTTTCTGTCTGGCTCAACTTCATTTTCGTTTTCAAACAAATCATATGGATGCCAAGCTCGCCAGCTACTGAAAAGATGCAGCAGTGCAAATTCAGAGATAGAAAATTCAATCCAGGGAGCAATTGCACACTGCAAGAAGTCTCAGCAAGTGTTCTCTTCAAAGAAGACTGCAAGCGAAGCAGGACTCTACTCGGTGTCTGCATCATCAAGAACCTCAGTTTGTGAGGATCATGAGAGGGTAGAGCTTTGGAGGGGCTGACGGGAATTGAAGAGTAGTTTTGCTTATTTTGTATTCTTCACACATTGTCTTTCAATTCAAAAGTAACTTTGGTGAAAGATAGCTTCATTCACCTGCACTAATTTTAGAAACACTCATGGTTATCATGATGATGGCTACAGAATGAGATTCTTCTGAAAATAAAACTCCAACTTTGTGCTATCATCTTCCAAGCCAAAAACTTTCCCCCCATATTTCAAGAATCACTTGGTGATCGAAACAACCTAAACAGTGACAAATTTATTTTAGTTTCTTTCTGAAATTTGGACCCTGTCAACTGAAAAACTGATTTGATCTTTCTCCAGCTTGTAAATCAACTGTAACAATCAATTATTGCACTATGATAGGCCTCTATATGCATACATCAAGCATTTTCATGGATCTCAATACATAAGGAACAGTGATAAGAAGAGTAGATTAAAAGTTTATCTTCTACTAGAAATCTCATTGCTTGTAAATGCTGTCAACTAGAATGGTGACAATGCAACAAGCACTATAAATGTTTGATACTTGATACTAAGAAATTGATTCTGTTTTATGCAATTACTTTTACCAATCATGAGAAAGAAATGATTAATGCAGGCACAGTACAGACATAATGAATGTAAGAGTAATGTGGACATCAAAACCTAATTGTTGAAGTGGAAAGCATAATAATATGTACAACTATTAAATTGAGAGAACAGGTACATTGCAAGATCTTCTGAAAAAGAAAAAGTTGGACATACAAAACAAATGAGAAAGTTAGAGGAATCTACTAATGCAATCCCAGGCTCTCACTGACAAACAAGGTAGACAACATTGAGTCCAAGTTTCACATTGAATAGAAATAAAAAAGTAGGGTACTATGTAAAGGTGAAAAATTCATTAACATGTTGTCTTAAGATTTTGGATAGAGAATAGTATCAATCCTTTGTATTATTGGACTCGGATCTCATTGATGTTTGTATCTCTCAGGTGGACCTCTTGATAGACCCAACAAAACAATACTAGTAACTCAGTTGTGTTCAAATGATGGCAAGAAATAAAGAACACCAATCTTTTCATGTCATTTGCCACTGAATTGTAATTGCTTATCTGTCAGCTTTGATCATCTAATTCTCCATTAATTTTATGAGGTTTCTTTAATGAATAAATAAATGTGATTGCCATACTGCAATTTTTGTAATAAATAAATGTCTTTTAAAATTAAAATACATGTTTCTTAGGTCCTTTCTAAATTCTATTATCAGAAACCAAGAGGGTCACAATCATTATGATTGTTGAAGCCCACATGTCTTCGTCCCTTGGCTACTACTCTAAGACATTTACTGGCTTCTAGTTTCTCTGTGAAGAAAATTTCTTGACCATTAAAGTAAGCTTATTCTATTATAATGCAAAAAGCTTGTCAGAGCAACTGAGAAAGAAGAAAAAAGAAGAGTTAGGAGGAAGTGAACTTCATACGTACAAGAATATGTTAAAATATTCACACCTGAAGTATAAAAGGATCCTTCAGTGCAGACAAGGTGACAAACAGCTTTTCAGGTGGTTCTATTCTGATTTCTTTAAGTTATCAGATGTTTGGCAACTTTGTAGCTATGAAATATATTTTATGTATAATGTGGATGCCTTCAAGAATCTCTATTTTTTTTAATTTTAATATATGACAACTGCTTTCAACTTTGGTATTCTGGGTCCTCAAAATTTGCCTATTCTGAATAGATTTTTGTTGTGTCAGCTCCTTATATTCTAAGCACAAGTTATCATAAAGCTTGTATGCATAGAGTAATGTAACATCTCTTGAGAAAAGTCACTCCCTTAAATAGATTTCAATACATAATTCTCCTTTTGCTTTCGTTTTTGTGTAATTTTGTATGTGTTTATTGTGCAGACAGTGGTTTTAATGCTGTTAAATTCCATTGAGATCCACGCTACTCCTCTTCAAAAATAAATAAATCATTCAGGCAGGCTACTTTTAACATTCAGTGTTCCTATTCGATCTCACGATTTCAAAGGTGACAAAGTTATTATTTTTATTTTTACTTGACTCGAAACTTGTGATCACCAACTAACTATTGTACTAACACTTCCCTTATGAAGTTAATCACTTATTATAGTGTAGTCAATAGAGCACTGGAGAGATTTTCATGTTAAAGTAGCAGCCATTGTTGTCCTATCAGCTGTCAAATGTTAGGTTTTCAATGTTTCCATGTGCTACAACTTGAAAAAACAGAAGAAAAAAAAAACTGTAAGCTATTGCTCACTTACTTTTATTATTTGATAAATTTAATTTATAAATAATGAAAGCTTATGTATGGGATTAAATACGAGATTTGTTCAACTTTATTAAACACGAGTAGGCTTTATTTTGTGTTCATCAATTTTTTTCTTAAAAAATTTCCTAACTCGGTGTTATTTTGTTGGATAATAATACTTTTGACAATATTTTTTTTACAACATTTTAACATCATCTGCGTGTCATTCTGTGACTGGTCCATGTTAGTATTTATAATTATTATTATTGATTGTGGAGTAATTTTGGACCAATCATAAAATGACATGTAGATGATATTAAAATGTTGTCAAAAAAATATTGTCAAAATATCATTATCCTATTTTTT